CGTCGCTTACAAAAACTCAGCTCTTCGCAGACCACAACTTGGCGGATTTTGCATCGTGACTTGAGCCTGCACCCGTATAGAATTCAACTGACCCAGTAAATGAAGGTATACGTCCATATACAATGACGTGTGTTCGCTGAATGGGCTGTGGAGCAGTTGGGAACTGACTCTAATTTTCATCAAACAATTATATTTATGGATGAATGGATACTTGAACAAGCAAAATTGTCGAATTTGGGACGATACCAATCCACATGAGATCCAAGAGCGTCTAATGCATCCCGAAAAAGTCACTTTTTTGATGTATATTTTGGGCTGGCGGTGTCATCGGTTTAAGAAGACGTTGGCAAGGCCATCAGTGTCAACGACGAGCACTAAAGGTCGATGATTAGCAGTTTCTTTTGGCCTGAATTGGTCACGCGGTTTTAACAAAACGGCGCTACGCAGCTGATGCCACATTCGATATTGTGCACGAGCGATTTGAGGGCTTGGTTATCTCACGTGGAGGTGATATGAACTGGCCACCGAGATCGTGTTATTTAATCCCATTAGACTTTCTCTTATGGGGTTTTCTTGAGTGAGGTCTTGAAGTGTATGTGAATTAACCACAAATCACAGCGGTCCTCAAAGCCAGTATAACCCATGCTATCGGTCAAATTCAGCCTGATGTATACGCCAGAGTCCTGGAAAATTGGACGTTTCGAATGCGTTCCACCCAGAGAAGCCGTGGCGGACAATTGAACGATGTTATATTACAGACATTGGCATCAATAGTTCTTTCAAACGAATAAAAAATTTCGATGATATATCACACATACTTTTTTATTTCAATTTAAAGAAAGACTCAGTATTAGAATGAAATATAGAAATGAATATTTTTTTGAAAACATTTTATCAAAATGTTCGGTTACTTCAACATGAAAAAAATTCCCAAGAAATCATGTAGAAAAGTCATTCATAAATACGTTTCAGACAGTATTAAATATTTTGAAAGAATGCAAAATATTTCAGATATTTCTGAATGTTTCAGTTCGAAACCCTGAGATCACTTTGAAAGAAGTGATTCTTATAAAAAAATCTTTTTTATCAGTACTCTTGATGTTGTATTGTTATGTTTGTTAACGATAATCGTTTTCAATATCTTTTGTGAACGTTTGGTGTTCAAATTGATAAAAAAGAGTCATTTCTGTATATTTCAATTTTTGTAATGGAAAGTAGTTGTTTCAGAATGTATCTGTTTGTAGGTTTGTATTAGGGATATAAATTTCAAATTTGTTTTGGGCTTTGATTTTTTTGGTTTCTGTGAATATTTCCCATTATGTGTGAGTTAATAGAGGAGTAAACATTTTTCTGTTTTGAAGAATACGATTTCTAGTGTTAGATACTCGTATTTGATTCTTAAAAAAAATCTGTTTAAAATCTGTTCTTCCATTAACCAATATCCCACTTTCAAAAACAAATTTCTGTCAACAACGGTCATGAGAGTGAGACGAGTGTCATAGGACATTGACCTACTGTGAAGTGGTGAACCCACCAATAATATCGAGCGTTTTTTGAAAAGGAAATATTTTGACCAAACTTACAAAACAAATAATGATTTGAGCAATTTAATTTAACAAAATATAGACAACATTTTTTGGTCGGAAAAGTTGACTTGTGGTTCTTGGCAGAAATTTTATGTTGGTCAAACGTGGAGAACTTTCTTAATAATCATAAAAGAACATAAAAATGGTTTTTTGAAATGAAACTCATTTAAAATTTGCAAACAAGTCTGGGAAAGCTAGTGTATAGCACATGTCTTATTTTTGTAAAACGTTATGTGAAAACATTACAGTAAAGTTAAATAAATTATCATGGATTTTCATCAAGTGCCCGCTAAATCCATCACATATCACGAGGATAAGTAGTTAATATATTATCCAGTTATGAACCGAAATTATTTTAATTAGTGGCGAAATGAACCCAAACTGTGGGATCGACAGAAATCTCAAATCATGAATATCAAAGATTAATTAGTCTCCCACTATTACTCATTCAGTTCTATTTAGAACAGAATGAGCGAATAGTGGGAAACTCGTTCGTTCTAATCAGAACAGAATTAATTAAAATGTTTCATCCATGTCAAGGCCTAGTACCAGTGACGAGGCAGGTCGAATCAATGTTATTTGGTATTGGATCATGGATGTAACGCTCCTGGGTTCGTCAAGAACTTATTTCAATTTATTTCTACGTTCTAGTTCTAGTTAATCTATTTAACGCATGGTATGTTACATTGAAATGATAACTTTTTAGTTCACTTCGATAAGTCACTACAGGAATTCAAAGTATTTTTCACGAAAAAAAAATGTTTTATTGATCAGTAACTTGTCGTAACTAATAATTTTGCCTTCAAACAAAGAGAAAAGAAATAGTACAGATACTTAATGTTTTGGAGGCGAAAATCTGCGTCTATCTTCAAACGTGAAGAAAAAATAGCGTTGGAATGTACTCCTGGGCAAGTTATTTCACTCTTCTATGAGCCCCACACGAATTTTGTTTATGTTCGCAGGTGGTCTTTCTTGACTTCTCAGTCGCACCATAGTTACAGACATGCTCTGTCTCTCTCTGTAAACACTATGGAGAGGCTATGGGAGCGCTACATAAGAGATGAAGTACTAGTTCATAGTCCACTTGATCCAAATCAGCATGCATTCGGCTCTTCACCATGTGGTTGACAGAATCGAAAGATCATTGGACAACAAACAATCCACCCAGGGTATATTCATAGATATTGAGGGAGAGTTTTATAAAACAACCTTTCCAACAATTACCCAGCCACTAAACTCCAGGAATGTACCCCTGGTAGTAGGAGAATGGATACTCAAGATGCTCTCTAGTAAAGCAATAAGTATCAATGTAGAAGACATCACAGTGAGAGGACTGGTCGTGAGGGGATGTCCACAGGGAGGGGTCTTATCACCCCTTCTTTGGAACATAGTTCTGGATAACCTGATTAACCACCTCAAACATAATGAATTCTACACAATTGCATATGTAGGTAGCATAGTCATCTTGCAGACCGGCAAATTTGTGAACACACTGTGCGATAGACCGCAGGATTGGCTCAAATTAATAGAAACATGGTGTAAGGAACACTCACTGTCGATCAATTCCAAGGAAGAAAACTGAAATGGTCTTTTTCACCAGGAAAAGAAGTTCATCGCGCTTAAAACCTCCCGAAATCTTAAAAAGCAAACTAAACTTCTCTGAAGAGGTGAAATACCTTGGTACCACCCTCGAAAGGAAGCTAACATGAAACTCTCACCTACAGAGTAGAGCAAAAAGAGCATATGTGTCTTATGAGCAATGTCGGCGGACAGTGAGACGCACACAGGGTCTTTCACCCCGTGTGGTTACCTGGATCTATACTGCAATAATAATACCTATGTTAACGTACGGAGCCATTGCATGGGAAACAAAAGTTTACAAGCAACGGCCATCCAAAAATTATATCAAATACAGCGATTGGCTCGTTAAAACATCACAGGAGCCATGAGAACAACATCAAATGCGGCAATGGAATTAATTATCGGTCTGACCCCTCTGGACCTGAACGTTAAGGAGGTGATGCAATTGAACCTAGGTTTGTGTTTAATAAACCCTACAAAATACAAATGAAACAGTCAAATAAGTAGAAAAAATACTATGCTCAATGAATACAATGAAACAATTTATACAGAATGAACCAAGCTTGCAAACAGGATAGTTTTCTGTCGATGTTTCAAATCGTGTGACACTAACTTTTCGAGCTTGTTGACCTTTCCGATACGTTTTAAACCATCAAAAACCGCATGGGAGCTGACTTCCAGTTCTATGCCATCCCACGCACCGTTCGTGATGGACTAGTCTCCACCAGGGTCCTCAAATCCTCGTCCTGGATTACTGTAGTCGACCACTTTAGGGCTCATCTTCGAGGCTACAATCTCTGGAACGAAATTTCGCGAACCAACGTCGAGCTGTGCGTCCATTTACACTATCATTGCCAAATGCCAGGTTGATTTTTCGGGTTATTTCGGTAGCAATTTGGTTCAATTTGAATCCGTAGAGGAAAATTGGTCAGAAATCCCTAACGACATCATACAGTAATATACTGAAAAGAGGCAAAATATTAAAATTTGGCAAAAATTAACAGAATAAATGAAGAGAGTACAACATTCTCTATGGATCAGCATTCGCCACGACACGAAAATGAATATGAATAATTATCTCGCACCAGCATTTTGCAAACTTTTCAAACATCTCACAAGAAAGGGGTTTTTACTTCTTTTTGGAAGATTGCTCGCGTTTACCCTGTTACCAAAAAAGAAAAGAAAAATCTTCAAAATAACTATAGACCAGTCGCTTTGCTATCAGTGGTATCAAAAATCATAGAGAAAGCCGTAAACTACCATATCCTTGAATATTTGGAAGGCTTTAACATCACGAGCAATTATCAATGTGGCTTTCGGAAACAAAAATCAACAGGCGATCTTCTATCGTATGTCACCCATATTTGGAATAAAGCAATCGAAAAACGTGGAGGGTAAAGACTTGTTGCGCTTGATATTTCTAAGTGTAAGACATGCAAGTAGCCGTCGATGTATATTTCCTTTTCTATTATTCACCATTGATTCTTTTTCTTTGTATTTAGATCATCGAAGTTGGAACCGGTGTCATTCACCAAAGAAAAATTGTTGACCACATAAAAAAACGTTCTATTTCATATTGCATTGGACGTTCTTACATACATTACACAATTTAAGAAATTGTAATTAAATAATGAAGATTTGTTAAATGTAAAACAACTTATTGTGACTTACGAGTATATTTGAATTTACCACAAAAATGTATGGTGTGGCTAGTAGTTGGTTTCATACTAGAGAGTGAGTGACTACACTCATTATTTGTTATGTGAATGCGAATTAGACTGACTTCCCCAGAATATTCAAATTTGTAATTATTAACGTTTTATTTCGTTTTCAGGTCAGGTTCCAGCCAGATTAGTACTATACCTCCTATCATGGTCAGGCTTCTTAGTATCTTTTATGATGAGAAATGATATAAATATGGCCATAGTAGCAATGGTCGAAAAAACTGATATGAAGCAAACAAATGCAACGAATGAGTACTGTTACATAATAGAAGAAACTAGCAACAATACGGCAACAGTGGTAAGTTTTATATTCAATTAGTTGAGGAGATCTGAGAAAAGTCTGAGTGTTTTTGTTAGTACTAACAGTGTGTTTTCTAATTGCGGCAAAATGTGAGGGCATGTTCTGAAGCCCAAATTTTATGAAATGCATGGTTTCCGAGATACAGAACGTTAATCTTTTCTAAAAAATATTGTCATTTCGAATAGTTTTTGTAGATACACCTGTTCAGAAAATTTCTTATTTCATATCTCATTTACACAGCAATAAGGAAATTAAATAATGTGTGATCGAGAGATCGGCAATGAAATGGTTTTCTTTTTATTCTGGAAGACAAAGCGAGCTACGAAAACAAAACAGGAGATGAAAAAGTTTAATTTTTTGATGTTTATAACCCAACGAAATTTTAAATTTTTTACAAGTTACGTCAGTGGCGTACTTTATTTTTATCCAGTCAAGGCTAAAAGAAACTCTTTCTCTGAAAATAACATTGAAAAATTTCACCAAAATCGGATAAGGGAGATTTACAGTATTAACACAAGACAGGAATTTTTTTGAAAAGTTCAACTCCCGATATTTTGTGAACAGTGAATTTCCAGACCTACTATTATTTGAACTGTTTGCTTAAAATTAACTCCTGAACACGTCTATGAAGAGTTACAGTTTTCATTCTGGGACTAATAATAAAATAACATTAATGTATTATTGAAATTAGCTCTGTTTTTCAAAATTCTCTCCTTCTCTCCTTTTTCAAGCCCTCGTCAAAGCATTCTTCCTTTCGCTTGGGACACCTCCAAAAATTGATTTTTGAATGCAACGCAGCAACTGCTCACGACAATTGATCTTCGTGCAATTTTTTATTGACATTCAGAAAAATAAAAGATTCAATGTCAAATCAGGATCGTATCGCAGATGAAACATTGAATCGATATTTCGAGTGCTCAAATAGTTGATTGTTAGACGAGATCTGTTTAAAATCTGGCTGATAGCTGGATTTTCTTGGCTCGTGATGTTTTTCCTTCAAAAACTAATCAACAAATGGTTGTGTGCTATTCATTTTGAAGTTTGTAACATGATTAAATTGTATTGTATTTAGCCCAGCTTGAATTACAGTCGACAGATTTTGAGGTTTGGTGTCCTTAAGCAGCGTTTACACTACGCCAGTTGAGGAGACAATTGTCGGGGCCAGTTTTCTTGGACCAGTTACGTGAATTTCTGAGACCAGTCCAAATGAATGAGAACTTGTTCACACGTCGAAACTATTGCCACGGCAGTTGGTGACGAAAAATGGCAGGATCCTCATCGTTTGTTGTGTCTCGTGATGAATTGAAAGTAATGTGTGATATTTGTCGGGAATTTATCGCTGAGGTTTGCGAAGTTTTTGAAGAAGAGTTAAATAAGAAAAAGGAATGGTCAGGCAAATGGCTAAAAGTGCTGAAGGTGAACTATCTAAAAAAGACACAATAATGGGGAAAGCACTGCACCCTAAGTTGAAATTAGAAGTGACACTATCATATCTTGCTACAGGAAATAGTTACAGAAGTCTACAGCATTTTTTCCGATTGTCAAAACCTATGCTCCTCATATAACTCCACGAATTTAAAATTTTAATCGTCACTCCATTCAGGAGCCACAGTTTTTCACAACAGAAAATTCTAAAATACATAATTAAACTCACACACGAGATATCTACTGCTCTATCACGTTCACACGGCGCCAATTGTCAAGGCAACTGCCGTGATAGGGTGGTGGGGGGCATCACTGCGCCCAGTCAATTGTCCTCTGTCTACTTCTGGAGTCCTGGAGACATTCGAATCTCAGGACAATTGGCAGGACAGTTGACTAGAGGTAGCCAATAATTTTATATCAGTAAGCTGTCCTCTGTCAGTTGTCTCTTTAACTGACATCGTGTGAACGCGGCCTAACCACACGCAAAGGTCCTTTTACTTATATATAGAGGGCACCAGTTGAAACGACCACAATCTCATAGTATGTTACAAACTGATCTTGCTAAATTAATTAATGCACAGCACGACTGTTTTTTTTATGATAATATAAGAAAAATACATAATAATCGTGTGGTTGGTAAGAAGCTAGTTCAAAATTGAACATAAGTTACTACTTGACCACAACCTGTCATTGGCATCGCTTAAGGCTTTGCCAAACAAACATTGAACACCTGGATGGCAAGAAGATTTATGGACTTCTTGCAGAATCTTCCAGGATTAGCTCACTCCAAGGCGTTTATTCACCCTTCGAAGCTTGATACCAAACAGTTGTTGGACTACAGTAGGGATGAACTACGATGTCTGACAGACCTTCTTACAGGTCACTGTCAATAGAATCATCATATGCAGAGACTCGGACTGTCGGAGGACATTCTGTGTTGCCTCTGTTTGAAGAATGATGGAACAGCAGAGCACATACTTTGTGCCTGCCCCGCTGGGGACCGAATCAGGTTTTTAGAATTCGGTAGAGCCGTACTCTTACCATCTGACCTGAAAGACTACTCACCATATTAACTAATAGGTTTCGTTAAGAAGCTGAGTTTATTTGGACGAGTGTGAATAGGTGTGAGCCACAATAAACCCTTGTGGGTTGCTGTGGAAGGTCGAATAGACCCACTTACTTTGGACCTAAGCTAATACTTGACTGGACTTATGGACACCCAGTAAATAAATGACTTGGTCTATCCCATCCACAAGTAGATGCGGTATCCTAGTAGATAATTTGGGATTTGTACTGTTTGAGAATATGTTCTGCCTGTTATTATGTTATCAGTTTTAAAATATACTGAGGAGTATTTATGACTTTGTAGAGATTATAAAGCTGCTGATATTTCATGTAATATTCAATATCGATGTTATCGGTTAAGTTAAAATTATTTTTTACATTACATACATACATATATATTACATTTCATACATACATATATGAGTATATCTATTTGCTTACATCATTTGCTTACATTATTTTTTATTTTACTTTTTCAGTTCAATAGCGTCCTATTTTGTTTGCATTTTATCCAATTAAAAAAAAATCATACTGGAATTGGCGTTCAAAGTAATGTCTTGGCGGAACTTATCTGGAAATTTTATAATAATATCAGTGAACAATGACTGCATGAGGCCATATGATTCAAATTGATTTATATAAAGCACTAAGTGGGTAGTATAGTTAGTATGAATCCATGTGCATGCCAGTTTTGAAAATAAAGTGTTAATCGAATGAATTATGGATTTTCCTCAAAAATCGTCCTATACCATCAAATATCTTGTTCAATTTCTTCACAATTTTGATAGGTTATTGAAATTATTTTTTCACAAAAAAATGAATTTACAAATTTTCGTTGAAAATATGATCAAAATCAGATGAGCTTTTTTTGCTGTGAGCGGCATCGATTATTAATGCGAATATCTGATAGAAGAAGTGCAGAAGTGTAGAAATAATTGTTTGAATGATAATAATGGAAGTTGATAAATTTTGCGAAAGAAAGTTTCCGGCCTTCTACTTCTTCATCTTGATACAAAAAATGTGGGAATCTTCCAAACAAAGGAAGGACGCAATTAATTTCAAAAATTAATTTCATACAAAGGTGTGTAGATCATACAAAGAAGTAACTTTCAGACAAAAACTGGAAGGAAAAACCTTTTCGAAAGAGCTTTTTTCATATGAACTTTTAATTACACGAAAGAAAAATACTTTCGAAACGAATACTTTTATATGAATGCTAAATTATACGAAAAACACTTTTGACTATTCCGTTTGTATTTCAAAAATTCGTAAGGAGATCGAATCAGGTATCATTCACAGAATTCATACACAATATAGTTAACGAAAGAAGTAAAATTTCACTTACATGGAACACTGTTATCCTCACTGGTAAACATCCGATGTTTCGCCGTATTTTTAGAACGGGTCAATTCAAAAAATTGTAATTTGGGATAATGAAATTAATGCATGAATACTTTATTTTGAAGTGAAATTGACAAATGAAACTTTCAAGATGGCGACTGGACGCCATCTGGTAAAAAAAATCAAATGGAAAGGGGGGTCTTATGACACATCATTTTGAAGCTCCTGACGAATACGTCACAACCCTAGAATATGAAGTCAATATCTTCCTACTACAAAATGGCGGAACATTTAATAATTTCTTGAAGGCATACACATTAATATTTTATATTTCTAGAAATATTTTTTTTATCTGCCATATGGCATTTCCAACAACCCGATAAGGTTTATTAACTTATTTTTTGTTTATAAAAACGACCAAAAATGTCAGTACGACAATGAACATTATTGTTCAGTTAGAATATTCTCATTCAGTTTTCGGTTTTACTAGTAAAAAGGTACCACGTCAACAATCTCTAAAATGGTCAGTTCTTGTCCATTGGAAGAAATAATTGAAGAGGTTTTTATTTACGTTGCGACGCGTAACTTTCACGAGACCGAAATGATTTTCAATGAACGTTTTCAGAATCGTCCTATCTGTAAAAAATATATTTGAGGGAACTTCACCAACTTATCAACCAAATTCACAACTACCGGTAGTGTACATAACAAAAAGACCCTAGGTCATCCGTCCATTCCGGAAGAACAGCAAGTGTAGTTGGTGAGATGGTAGTAAATCCTGAACCTTCGCGAAGGATTGTGAGGTGTCTTCTCCTACTGGGTGGAGACTTTTGAAGAGGAACCGATATCATTCACACAAAATTAAAATGGTACACCAATCAAATGAAGATGACACTGATCGAAGAAGAGAATTCTGCGAAATCATGACTGAAATCATTGCAAGGCATCCTACTTATTTTCACAATATTTGTTTTAGTGACGAATGTATATATTTTTTAACGGCAATGTTCATAGACAAAATTGCTGTTATTGGAGTGACACCAACCCTCACGTTTTCCGGGAAACACATACCCAATATCCAGAAAAAATTAATATTTGGGCAGAAATATTGGGAAACCATGTTGTATTTATTTATTGATCAAACTTTAACAGGGGAACTGTATTCGAATATGCTGCTGACCCTCTCATCACTGAAATCGTCGAAGTGAATCCTAATGATTTCGATATGGATATTGTATTCCAACAAGATGGACCACCACCATACTACTCCAGACAAGTAAGAAACTATTTGGATACTACTATTCCCGGTCATTGGATTGGCCGTCAAGGTCCTACAGAACGGCCAGCCCGCTCGCCAGATTTGACACCTCTGGACTTTTTTATGGGGATATTTGAAGCAAAAGGTGTACGAAACTGAACCTGCTTCAATATTGAATATACGACAGAAAATAATAAATATTTGTAGAGATATTGACGTTACTGTGTTCGAAAATGTTCGGCGTGAAATATTGCATAGGCTGTTCATATGTAAAGAAGTTCAAGGCAACCATTTTGGGCATCTTCTGAACTGACCTCAAGCTTATTACCTCATATTATGTAGTTAAATGTCAATGTATTCAGGCAAGGTAGTAGTTGAAGATATTGACATTTTATTCTAGTGTTGTGAAGCATTTGTCAGGAGCTTCAAAAAGATGTGTCACAAAACCCCCCTTTCCATTTAATTTTTTTTCACAGAAGGCGCCCAGTCGCCATTTTGAAAGTTTCATCTGCCAATTTTACTTCAAATCAAAGTATTCATGCATCAATTTCATTATCCCAAATTTCAATTTTTTTAGTTGACCCGTTCAAAAAATAAAAGGTGGGGACGTTAAAGAAATACACTGTATTTTGTTCTGATCCGATCAATTTTAGATCTAGAAAGAATCATTTACAAAATTTGGATTTGCGAACTATTTAGCTAACTGGATATCTGCAGATGTTGCATTTACAATAATAATATTTACAACTTTTTAGGACTATGGTGGCACACTTCAATGGTCTACCAAGGTGCAGAGTTATGTATTAGCCTCGTTTTATTGGGCATACATAATTTCTCAAGTAGTGGGTGGATTGGCTACCCAAAAATTAGGCACCAAGCGAGTCTTCGGCTATTCTCAATTAGCAACTGCCTTGTGCAGTCTGAGCATACCGTGGGCTAGTGATACCCATTACGGTATAACAATCGCTCTGAGGTTCATCCAAGGATTCGCATCGGTAAGTGAAATAAACTGAATCAGTACTCAAGCTTACATCAACAGAATTATACTCATTTGACGTTTACTATGCCTATAGTCGAACAACCTTTTGTTTACACGATCACGAGGCGCTTCAGTGTTACCAGATATTCCAGTTGAAACGAGCCACCCTGAATAAGTATATGCGTCTAGGCATATACGTTGTCTGTAAGGACGAAGGTAATATCTCAAAGTCAACGCATATACCACTGATAATGTCTGTCGCAGTAGCAGACAAAACGTTAGTTGCTTAAGGTTACTTTCGATCACGGCTTACCAGTCCGTTTTGAATTCTCTTCAATCATGTCAACTTCAGTTTTCAGCAAGACATATGTCTACGTTGAAATCAACCACTTGTCAGCAACTTTCTTCCCATAACAACCCACATGTCAAAAAATTCAAGTGGGAATAGCAACCCACATGTCAAAAAATTCCAAGTGGGAATAGTACTTTAACATTTTTGAGATTACAACGATATGCAATATCGAAAATTTAAGTTTCTATTCAATACCTAACGAGAAAGTATGGAACGCCGTTTTACTTTTTATTGTCACAAATATTCATTCCTCAATTTATTCAACTAACAATTTATTTGTTTGAATTTAATTGACTCATGCATTTGTTCCACACATTAAAAACGATTGTTCACAAAATTTGTTCTATTTTGAATGACACTTGATTTAAAATGTTACATGAATAAAATTGTTATTTGAATAAAAAAGAGTAATGAAATAACTTGAAGCTTTTATTGATTCCGAAGAAAAATATTGTTTCAGAGTATTGGAAAATGGAACGCCAATTTATTATATATTATGCTGAAAAATAATCTATATACATATAGTTCAACTCAGCAATAAACCAACATTTTAATTCAACAATCAATGGAATGTATTATTCGAGTAAATTCAACAAACGTTTCAATTCCGCATATAATTTTGACCTTTCAATAAAATGTTAGTTATTTATATGACTGTTGAATTACAATGAAACTTTAAATTCACT